TTTTCCTTCAACAAGTCTACGAACAGAGCGGCGTTTACATGATGATTACATGAAACTATTTATTATCAAGTGATATCTTTCATTCGGAATATATGTATTTAAAGCTGCGTTCCTTTTTTATTAATATATTCTGGTTATATAATTAAATATATATGGGAAAGGACGATTACAAATCGAAAAAATTTGTTTTTTAGGCAGTACATATAATTGGGGGTTAATAGGCGAAAATTTTACGTTTATTCTTGCATTTCGAAAAATATGTTTTTAAAGTGACATATTTTAAATTTTTTTCATTTTTCTCAAGGAAATAAATATTTTTAATGGTGGACTCCGAGATTTAATATAATATTTATGATCTTACCGTCTTCTTCTTCTTTAGTGGCTTAGACAAGTCAAGTTATGTGGTTGTAGCCGAGTTAACAACAGGGCCAATGCGTGAAGGACCRCAAATCTTCCGCAGAACCTCTCTCTAGAACATTCCTAAGCCCAACCCATCAGATGATGCCATTGCGTGCTCAGTCCAAAGTAACACTCGTTGGCAAAAGTGATTATTTTTGTTGGTGTTGTTGCTGGTTCCAATATAGACGAAATTATCTAGTACTTCGAAGTTCTGACTGCCAACAGTGACGTGTAAGCCAAGTCGCGAATGCGACGACTGTTTCTTTGATGACAGCATGATCATACCAACTTCAATAAATTAACTTAAGCCTATATAAACTTTCAAATGAATGAACCAAATCTATTGTCATATTTTGCTTACTGCATTAATAAAAAAACTGAGTGATTTGAAATGTAATACGATTTTAAAGCGTTTTATTTATTATACTTAAATTGTTCTCCATAAAATACGTACTATACTAGGTASATAGGTGTTTCGTTGTAAAATACCATTCAATTATGAAACCTGTGTCATATAATGCATGTAATTCTTCTCTATTAGCCACGGCAAAATTTCTTTCACTTGCTGCACATATTTGGGATTATAAAACATGCGTTTTTTAAAAGCTTTTCCCGCCTCATTATTGCTCATAAAAGTTTCAATGTTGGAATTTTCATGGGGATCTAGTAAAGCCACTGCAAGCATCCGTTGAACACACACAAAAGCTGTTAGGGTAATTAATTAAAATTCATGTAAAAATTTATATAAACTATATATTATATTTGATACATACCCCACAAACCATATTTTTCCAGTTGAGCATTTATCTGCTCGAGTGTAGGTATTGGTCTCATGTAATTTAACCTTTTCAAGTTTCGAATCAACTCGGTATGATAAAAATTTATGAAATTGTCAAAATTTTTCAATTTAATGTTCCATTGTGGCGAAGTCATCAAAAAGCAAAATACATCCATTGCGAAACTTCCATACTTGGGTAGCTGAAAATCAACGAAAAGCACTTCCTGAACTGCCTCTCCGTCATCCTTACTGTGTCGAAACATGATGTTGTTTATCCAAAAGTCGCCGTGGTTAAGAACATTGAAGGCTTGTGCATCGATATTGCCAAATTTTAAATATAATTCATTCATGTTTTTCATGTAACTCAACTAGGAGACAACAAAACATTAAATTACTAAATTATTAATTGGGACAATAGTGTTCAAAATTTCAAACGAATTGGGGCAGTAGTTTTGAAGTTATGAGGGCCACTGACTTTGAAAACATGGTTGTGAAGAAAACGCTTTAAAGTTTTGAAAACCGATGTAAAACGTTCATAAAACAGGTATAAAAATAATCGTAGCTTCGTCAGTTTTGCTCCAATATACTTCAATTTATGACAAAATATTCTTCAAATATTATACATTAAAATTAAGGGAAAATAAAAAAATTTAGAAACCTTAAAGTATTGAAATTTTCAATTTTCGCAAAACACTGAATTACTTACAATGACCTCTTTTTCTGGAAGCAGCAAATCATAGCTCTCCAAACATTGAGCAAACGGCTCATTGAATGCAGCATTCATATTTTCAATAAAAGGCAAATTCTTCTGTGAGAAGTAGCTGTTTACATACTCTTCTGGGTAATCACCTCTTATTTCAACTCTCTTAGCTGAAGCTGCATGCCACTGCGCCAACTTTGCAAGCACCGCTTTAGTATGCTCTTCGTTGAGACCCTCTCGCCTTGGCGCATTTTTAAATCCYCTTGCCTGAAGATCTTCCAGAAGAATATAATTGCAAGTTAGTTCRTGAACAAAACGATATTGTTTTGGTTTGAAATGTAATTTGTTATCGAAATTTGCACATAACTCCTCTAACTCTGGCACGATGTTGTCGTACATATCCGATTCGGTGRCAAATAATTCATGATAATCATCAGCTGACGATGGCGCTTTCTCTTCGTTGTTTTCATGCTCCTTTGTTTCATTAACCTTCAGCGGAATTTTTAGTATGAGTTGCACCCGATGGAGGCTTGTATCTAAACACGGAAGCACACCATAAAAGTAAATAAAATCAGAGTAAAAACTGTAATGTAAACAATTTCAGTTTGAATTGCGCACGTATGTGAGAACTTATCTCACCTTTCAGCTTTATATCGGCACAAATTCTTATAATCGTAGTAATATAGTTTTCGCCGTCATCTAAGGCTCGAACTGCGGAAAAGTTTATAAGATCATCAAAATCTTCGAAATTGTCACGGAGGAATAGTTTAAATTGTTCACATGTCACCAAAGCTGCAGTTTGTTTGCTCATCTTAGCTCACATTTATATTCACTCACAATTCATGCACGACACTGACTGATCAAGCTGGATTGCCTACTCCCCATACGTACCGACAAGAGTGCATACAGACAAAAACCAAAGCTTCGACGTTCACGAACTATTGTTCTCRGAAAGAGAAATCGTCTCAGTGACGTCTACTTATTAGAGTTAACCAGAGCTGCCACKTGATAAAAAATTTGCCCACCAAATATGTTTTAAAACTATTAAATYTTTTTATCATCAAAGCTTTGGGTTTAATTTCACTTCACTCTCCGAAAAATATGAACATTAGAGGTCAATTAAATTTAGSTACATTTTCTTAATTTTCTTCAAGCAAATCTTCACTACAAAAGATCACCAAGATTGACATGTCGAAAAGTTTAAGTCTTCATTTACCTTCAAACCTMTGTTATATATTTTCTAAATTCTATGATTCGATAGCAATAGAACGAAATGATACCTAACCTAACATATACAACAAATCGAAACGTAATTATCACCCGAAACTACAARTTGCTGTYAAATATTAGTATTTTCTGTTTAATYAAGTTGTATGTTTCGGTCTCTTYTTCGCCCTTGAACATTAGTAAAAAACTCCCTCCTAATAAAACATTGCCATAAAGTTTTTACTCCATGTTTGGGATATATTAACTTTATATCTTCATATAATCGATGGTCAGAGACACAAAACATGCAGAAGTCAGAGGAATTCCGTATAATTAAATCGCTGTCATTCCTCCAGGAAGCCTCGATTTTCCATCCAAGGTAAAATCACAGCAATTTCCTTGGCATAGCGGGGATTCGCATAAGCTTCATTGATAAATACCCTATTTAGCTCTTGKTTGCATATTATGGCTTCATTTAAGTTCAACTCGCTAACGCCAAACGACAGCATCACAACTGGCAGAATTTTTTGGACCACTTCAAAGCCTGTTAAGTAAAATCGTCTTAATGATAGTTGTATATATTCGGACATACCAGTTATAACCGCATTTACCCCACCAATAGAACTTTAATATGGCCAGATGTAGGCCCGTTAACGTTGGCAGGTCTTTGTTATACCCCAGTAACTTCAAGTCTAGGCACAACTCCTCGTGATACACCTTGACGAAATAATCAAATTTGCTTATCTTATTTGCCAAGCAAGCTGATAGCAGCAGAGCGAGCAAGTCAATCGCAGGTGAACCCCACTGACAGTTTGTAAAGTTATTCAATAATACATCTTTTATATTGCCAAAAGCGTCGTAGCTGAAGAGAAAATTGTTTGGCCAACAATTGCCGTACAATAGAACATTGAAGYCGCTGACGTCATAAGGAGCGCTTAACTGCTTCTGCTGCTCGAGGGATTTTGCGAAAGACCTCTACATAGGGAAATTATTCTAACAAAGTAACTTTTTTTTAACTCGGTGCACATTAGATAGTACTCACAATCTTGTCCTGGTATTCACGCATGCCGTAAAAGCGAAGCCCTTCAATAAACTTACGATTTAGTACTACATCGCGTTCAACAAGCAAAGCGCTTCCATGATTCTGGTCAGAAGTGCTAGTTTGGAAGCGTTGTCTGAACTGTCTAAATAAAGCGACGTGATGGTTGGATGCATAAACAGCAGATGCTGCATGGAAAGAAGCTAGTTTTTTCAAAGCAGATTCAATGTGCTTAACATCAAGCCCCTCAGGGCTGCTGGCATTCCGATAACCCTTTGAAAGTGCGTCTTCTAACAGAATACATCCTTTTATAGATCCTTCATTTAATACCTGGTAAAATGATTGTACAGTTTGTGAAAATTTAACATCCTTAAAAGCTTTTGCATAGAGCTGCTCAAAGGCAGGCGTCAACTCGCTATACACGTAAAATTCTCTACTTGCGTCTGAACTATTTATTTCCTCTGATGGTTGTGCCTTGAGTACGTATTGGTCTGTTCGTAATTTTCCATCTACGAAAATCTAAAATAGTACTACGAATATATATTCAGGAGTATTATTGTCATACCTTCTAACTGCTTTTCGACTTTAAGGGAGCAAGAAAAGTTACGTGGGTTTCTCCATTGGCAATTGAAATTTGAAATTTTGCGAAAACCTTTTACATTTTGCTGTAACAGACGAATTAAAACAGTCTCGTTTAACCAACTCGATTGTACTGTGGACATGACGAATGCTTTAAACTAAATTGGCAATGGCACGAGCATTCAACTTATTAACTGAAATAATTCGAATTTATTGAGAATATCAGCTTATCACCTACCATATATCACTATTTATAGTTTCGTTCAACGTGATTAGATAAAGTAGGTATTTCTCTTCAGGCTGTTCTAACGTTACCCATAGGAAAGTTTTACCATAAAGTTGTAGGTGTCGAATTATGTTTTTGTTGCTCGTGAATACGGAATTTTGATTGTTGTTCATACATCAACTTATTTCGAATATCATTTCAATCGCCCTCAACATTTTTCATGATTATCCTAAACTTTCAAATGCTATGTGCATAAGTTTGAGATCATAAATTTGCCCAAATCTATTCATTTTGCTTTAGAGAACAAATATATTCGCGAAATGATAGAAAAAGCGACAGTAAATGATTTACTAGTACCCCAAGGTATTGTTGCAAAGTGTAAAGAATAATTTGTTCAACTAAGGGTAGTTTGTGTCAATCAATCGAGATAGATCTAGGGCAGTACATACATATATGAGTTGAAATCCAGGACTGTCTGTCCGTGCRTCCGTCTGTKGTTGAATAAAAATTAAGATATCTTGATGAAACTCGATGGTCATGTTTCTTGGCAMAAACGTAAAGAAGAGTTTGTGGATGGTCCCGATCGGACCGATGCCTCGTACTACCGTGGTGTAAAAATAGGTAAATCGGTTGATAACAGCGTCCGCCTCCCGTATAACGGTTTAGTTTAAAACTACTAAAAGTTCGGTAAATCAACAACTAAATGCKCCAGGGAGATGAAATTTTACATCCGAAATGTTACGAAAAGGTTTTATAAGAGCCGGTGTCAAATTTGGACGGTGGGTGCATTAGCTTCAWATCTCGGGACCTGCACAACCACGGGGATTTCAACCAGATTCGATAGGTAATATTGTCCTGACACTCCTACAGTACAGTACGGAAATGGGCGATATTAAGCACCAATCAATGTTGGGATAAGACTTTGCACGATTAGTGCCTCTGAGGTGTGCTAACTTATAACCAAAATTTCAAAATCCCATATAACTCCGATTTCGTCAAACAAAGAATGTTGAACTTCTTCGCAACACATTTAAAATAAAGTGAACTCATGAAGGTATATCTTAGCCTTTAATCTTGACAAGTTGTAGCAGTATGAAATGTTCGGTTACACCCGAATTTAGTCTTTCCTTATTTGTTATAAGTGAAATTTGCCGTACAAAATTAGTCAAGCCATAATGAGGAAGAACATATAAAGATGCCGAACTCCTGTTCRAAAGCTAAAGTTAAAGCAATTCATCATATCGGTTTCTCTATTACTTTTGTGTCAAATTTAATAAAATCTGCACAAAACTGCAAGTGCAATCAAGTTGTCACGGAGTGCCATTAAATCTGGGTAGAGTCAGGGTGCTTTAGATCAATGAACGTACTCGGAGCCATTGTAGCGCTAATCTCATTAATTTGTTATGGGAGGAAAAATAGTGGAAACATACGATTGATTTGAACGAATTAGACAACATAGCGCCTCGGTAGCATATTTAATTTAATATGAGAGTAATTTGTTTCATGCATAGCCCTTCGAGGCGTGTAAGKGCCAACAAATAACCGTTTTCAATTTAAACAACTCCGTATCATTCTTCACTGCTGGAAGTTCCGTCCATATTGCGACATTCCTACGCCGCAGTTCTCAAAATTGCTACACTTTTATTTAATAATGTTTTAATAAGACTATCAAAAGTCATGTTTTCCCCACGTGCTAATCGGTGACACGTGAACGTCCTTYACTGCGGCGCACACACGAAAGCCAAATGCGCACAATAATCCGCCCTTCATAATTGGCAGAATGAGGGTGCACTCATCACTCCCTTGCTCGCTGGCGCGTCCGAGCGTTGCTACTCTACATACTTAGGGACTGATCACTGTTCGACATGCATACACGRACGCACAAGTGTTTGGCCTGGCGGGATACCCACTTTTATGCATGAAGTGTCACTAATTCCACAAAACATATTTCACGCCTTTTTGAGGCGCACACACATTCCCTTATTGCAGAGAAGATTTGAAACAAATGTTGCATTCGAATATTACGAAACAACCCTGTTAAAATTGGCAATGAAAATAACTGTGAAGGATTTATTAAGCATTTTTGTAAGGAGCTTTCAAGTAATATCTGCCAATTTGGATTCAATTAAGAAATATATGAAATGTTGATTCTTTCGTTCACGCAAATGCGCTCAAATAGTTCAYAACAAAATATATGTAAKTATGTAAGTGTTTGAATTTGGTTACGATACRTATGCTWTCTTCTTCTTAATTGGCGTAGTCACCGCTTACGCATACATATTTATATACATGTATATATGTACCTTTTAAMMAATTCGKGKTGCAACARAACGTAAATTCTATGATATTTCTTTGGTTTCACTCTATTAGCTATTACTAGAGGGTTGGCTTTGGACGTGTCCCTTGTCTCGTTTGCAACACACCAACACACATGCGTCAAAATATTGCACAATCTGTTACATTTAATTTAATTATAATTTTACGCTTTGCTAACATGCTCCTCGYTTTCCTCCATTAGCTGTTTGCACACGGTCAGGTGCAGAGATTCTCATCCGGCTGACTTCTTACTATTTGTGGTTAGGGTGGATTGTTTACTAACAAGTGTATAATTCCTTTTATCAATGACAATTACGAAGTGGGATTATCAGGTATATTTTGGATCTTTATGAACAACGAAAAAACATTCCGTTGACTTGTGTTCTGTGACTGCTTTCTACTATACAAGTATATCGCCAGATCAAATAAATTGATAATATCTATTTACMAGTACATATGTATGCACATGCATAAGTATGAATGTTTCTATGAAAATTCATTTGCTTGTATTAGGAATTTAAAATTCGTA